AAAAAGTGTATCTCGAGCCGGTTTCTCAAACTTACCTACCCCACCTTTAAAGATGAATGCAATTAAATTTTAAAAAGTTTTAAACAGAACTGTTACAGATGCAGATGCTTGGTCCAAATTCCATAAAATATACCAACCAGTAGCGCCACACTCAGACGAAAATGTACAAAGCCTATTCTTCCACTATTTGTATTCCCACATTATTCACCAAGCCAGCCCATGCTTTAATATAGATATTATGGATATTGTTATAATTCCTGCTGTCTTTTGTGAACTTCTAATTATTTGTAATTGTTCTGTTCCACAGATGCTGTAGTAAACCACCATCCAGGGACCAAGACATCAGATATAAGAACATCCATTAACACAAGAATGTGTGAGTTAAGGCACGAAAAAAACAAGATTGACGATCAAATAGGGTACAAGACTGTTTGGCCCTGTTCCGGACCTTGTTTTAATGAGTGATCAGCTCATGTTTAAAGTTGTCACCAGGTGAAACAAAAAACAAGATTGTTAAATAAGATAACAGACTGCTCTTTTTGGCCCTGTATGAAATAACAATGCATCATTTATTAACTATACCTATACAAAATGTAATACATTTTCCCTTCATCATGTAATAACACCTCCTTTTGTAATAATTTGCCCATTATGTAGTAAACAAGTTCCATGCAAATATGTAATACATGTCACCACATTTTGAAATATATTATTACATATTGCTGTGGTTATTACAAAAGGAGTTGCAAACAATAACATTACAACTGTTTATTTATTTATTCAACCATGAATCATCCTTACTCATAATTTAAAAATATTTCAGTAGAATATCTTTCATTGGCCAAAACTAGATCAAGTGTTACCATATTCATTAGCCAACATGTATATCAACATCAATTTTGGGATATATTTACAGTTTGGTTATGGTTACATAATGAATATTACAGTTTTTTAAAAGGGCAACTCACGCATTTTGTAATAACCATTGCAAAATGTAATAATTTATTACAAAATGCAGGGAAATGTGTTTTATATTGCGTTCAGGCTGTTACAGAATGCAGCAGATTATTACAAAATGTGGGTTTTATTACATAATTACATGAAAATGTTCTTGAGTCATTACATAATGTGTTGTTTATAGGCCTTTTCTTTTATTCTTTCCTTGTCCTTCTTTTAATGAGTATTTTGATAACTGTTACACATTGATAGAAAAAAACAAATTAAGCTTCTCATTATTCAGACTCAGCTCTCAGCGCTTAAGCTTCTTTTAAATGTTGATAAAACCAAGGTAATGCTCTTTTCAAAAGTGTTGAGATCTTCATATTAGGTTGAATAATTAAAACAAAAGTTAGTTATAATCAAATATAGTCAATTATATTCTTGTATAACCCACAATGAAAATGTTTCATATGTTATGATTTTCTCATTCTTTAAATGTGTTGGAATTCTTATACCTACCATTCTTTAAATGTGTTGGAATTATTATACCTACCATTCTTTAAATGTGTTGGAATTCTTACCCCTACCATTCTTTAAATGTGTTGGAATTCTTACCCCTACCATTCTTTAAATGTGTTGGAATTCTTATACCTACCATTCTTTAAATGTGTTGGAATTCTTTAATGGGTGAACTATGAATTAAGGTTTTAGATTAGAAAAGAACCCCAGCATGATATGTTTAGTATGATTATAATGTTGTAACGAGAGAAGGTAAAAACCCTGTATTAGTTTGGACCTATTTTTCTTCAAATAAACTGATCCCACCTTTTGGATTGGGACAACTTAAAAGACATCTGCGCTCTCCTCTCCTGCTTGAAAGGTAAGATCGCACACTGCCACACTCACACTTAGGTAGGGCCACACCTCATTTACTGATATCAAAATCCTTCGGGATCGCTTAAACAGATTTAGGGGGTCGTCTGAATTGAAACAGCAGTTAATTGAACCTGGTTCTTCGGGGAGTTAATAGAGGTGAGATCTTGCTGATCGTTGGTGGATCTGAGCCAAGCAGTAAACTTACATAGACTCAATAACTTCGGTTAGGTCAATTAGGAGGTCTGAGTAATTTAAGTTCGGAATAAATTATCGGATGACTCCCGACTCTTACAAAAGCTAAAAAGACACCAGAGCCTGTTTTAGATATTGTAACTACGCAAGGAATAAAACTTGAAGTGGTTACCTGTTACAAATACCTTGGAATCTGGCTTGATGATCGTCTCACTTTTAAACTTCATGTCAATAACCTGCTTAAAAAACTGAGGGTTAGGCTAGGTTTCTTTTACAGGAACAAGTCCTGTTTCTCGCTTGAGGCCAGAAAAAGTCTAGTCTCTGTGACCTTTTTACCTGTACTGGACTATGGTGATCTGATCTATATGAATGCACCTGCCCATTACCTGATCAAGTTAGATGCCGCCTATCACAGTGCACTGAGATTTGTGACAAACTGTAAAGTATTAACCCATCACTGTACCCTGTATGCAAGGGCAGGTTTGCCTTCACTAACTGTACGGAGGCTCAGTCACTGGTACATTTTTATATACAAAGCCATGTTAGGGAAACTTCCATCCTACATCTGCTCCCTGATCTCACGGCGAATTGTAAGTGGCTACTGCCTGAGATCGAATGCTGTGGTTTTATTAAATGTGCCAACTGCTAGGACTGTCTTAGGGAAGATAACTTTTAGATGCGCAGCTCCGCTAACTTGGAACAGTCTGAGCAATTTGGTTCCACTAAATGTTTTTAAAGCAAGGATAGATGCTATCCAATCGGAAACTGTTGGAACCTGTAAATGTTACTAGCTATGTAAACTGTAGTCACTGTAAATATGCTGTATGATGTCCTTTTTTGTTTTTCTGTTATGTTTATATGTATTCATGTGGAACCTACTTGCAGCAGGTCACCCTTGAAAAAGAGATCAATGATCTCAATGGGATTCACCTGCATAAATAAAGGTTTGAAATTAAATGAAAGATTTTTTTTATCAGAACATGCATTTCTCCTCATTGTGAACATATATTGCACTCATGTTCAGAATATATGGTACGTACATGGTCTTTTATAAATCTGAATATATAGTGCATACATGTCCCCATATAATTGTGAATATATAGCGCATACATGTCCCCATATAATTGTGAATATATATATAGTACATGTCCCCATATAATTGTGAATATATACTACATACATGTCCCCATATAAATCTGAATATATAGTACATACATGTCCCCATATATTTGTGAATATATATAGTACATGTCCCCATATAATTGTGAATATATAGTACATACATGTCCCCATATAATTGTGAATATATATATAGTACATGTCCCCATATAATTGTGAATATATACTACATACATGTCCCCATATACATCTGAATATAGAGTACATACATGTCCCCATATAAATGTTAATATATATACACAACCAATATATTATATATATTTACATATATTACTCAATATATGGAAAGCGGCAATTACTGATGTATTATCCCATATATTGCAATATATTAACACAATATATTATTCTATATATCAATATATTGTAATATATTAACACAATATATTATTCTATATATCTTCAATATATTTTGTAGATATGAATAAATATGTTTTTCATGTTGATTATTAATCAGTATCAGTTGGTGTAGCCAACAGCAAGATTTCCTTTATTAAATCTTTTCAATTAACCAGTAAATCAGAAAACAAAATAATGCAATATATTGACAGTTAATATATGGGGAAATATATTTTCTTTGAGTAAGGGCTACTATCATATCACGCACGTATATAAAAAAAATAAAAAATAAAAATAAAAACCTCTTAAGGACGTGCACTGCACATGTTTTGTTTTGGGGGGAATCTCGCAGTCTCGAGCCCACTCACTTACAGTAGCGACTCTTCCCATGCACGAGATCCGCCATAGCGGCACGCTCAGATTTCCACTATTGCTTACACATTCTTTAGAGGGCTTGCTGATAAGCCAGGTTATGATATTCATGCATCACCGTACTCAAGCTAACAGCTCACGTGCTTTACATTGTCCACATCTCCCTCTTCGCCCGGACATCGGCGTGCTGGCAATCCAAGATTTCTCCAGCTTACCTATGGTATATATGCATATAACTGGTGGTGGTATCTTAATAGCATTTCAGGGCTTTCGTCAGGATAGGTGCAGCCAACCCTGTTGCCAATCAAGGTGTTTCTTCCTCATCCCTGCAACAACTCGGACGGTGGTCCTCCTCTGCCTTCCAGCCTATATTCGCCGGATATCAGTGCCGTGCTGGCTATTCAAAGATCTCTCAAACCCTAACCTCTGGTATTTATGCATATTAGTGGTAGTGTTCATCTGTGTTAATGTTTAACCCTGTATCGTCAGGTCATCGACCATCGTGTCCGTGATGTTTAGCGGTAGTGTTCACGTAAGCCCGGCACTGATTTCGGCCGTCGACCTTCGGGTCAGCATCCTATGATGTACAGTAAGCCCGGCAGTGATTCCGGCCGTTTGTTTAGCGGTAGTGTTCACGTAAGCCCGGCATTGATTTCGGCCGTCGACCTTCGGGTCAGCATCTTATGATGTACAGTAAGCCCGGCAGTGATTCCGGCCGCTTGTTTAATTCACATGTTAATCTCTCATTTCATCCATAGATCACTGCAGTCAGCCCGCAAGGTAAGAAACTCATTACATCTCAGTATGTCATACTTCACTCTTTTGGGGATTTCTTCGAAGCGGTTCTTCCCCTCCTGAAAGATAATCCTGCAAACCGGGGCCTAATCGCGAAACACCATTCCATTCTCCTGTTTTAATTCCGGCAATCATTATCACATTCATATTACGTGTCCCGGTAATAAATATGTATTTCATACATCAACGTTTCTCCTGATTGAACTCTCCTTTAGTAGCAGTCTTTTCTGCTTCAGGTTGCAGCATGTTGTCTCTTTGGGCTCTGCATTCTGTAAAACAGCAACAAACAGTATCAGGGACATGTTAAAGAATCATCTCAATGTTGGACTGATATCAAAGAGTTCATACCAAGACTCATAGCAGCCAGCAACACTGAGATAATCAGATGCATCATATCTGCAGGTTGAGAAACTCTGAGCTACAGCGAGTATAAAGAGGACTGATAAACTCTGCTGAAGTCTGACAGAGAGAGACTCCCTCTGGTGGATGCTGTGCAGTACTGTGTTGTCTTTGCTCCAAAGGTTTTTGTACAGAGTGTTGGTGTTTCCTGTCACTGTGGGCCTCAGAGCACAGTAGTACACAGCAGAGTCTGTCACTGCAGCAGAGGAGATCTGCAGAGGAACTGATTTATTGTTGAGTGTAGCCTCAAATCTGTCTTTCTTGAACTCTTCAGCATTCTCTCCAGTTCCTGTCCAACGCATCAACGTGTACTTTGGGTAACCATTGACTTCTTGTTTGTACCAGAACAAATATACATTCGAGCCAACACTGATCTGAAATGTGCAGCCAAGTGTAACTGTGTCTCCTTCAGTAGCGCTGACTTCTCCTGCTGGCTGGGTCACTGTGTCTTGTCCTTTACACTCTGGGGAAGAAGAGACCATGCAGAGGAAGAGATGAATCAATAAAGATGATGGATTAAAGGAGAACAATCAGTAGCTTTAAACAGTTACCTAGAAACATGTTGTAGTTTCTATCTTACCAAAGGAGAGAGTATCAATTAGATCACTTTTTCATGTTAACGTGTTCATGCAGAATGTTACGTACCTCTTAGAATGGAAACGAAGAGTAGGGAATGTAAATAATAGTCTAATGACAGCATGTTGAATGAAGGTGATGATGATGATGGTCTGTGTTGAACTCTGGTGAATATGGAAGTTCCTCTCTCTTCTATAGTTCAGGAACATCTTAGCTCCTCCCTGAATCTCTCTGTCTCCTCTTAGATCTGTATTTCAATTCTCTCAGTTACACTTCCTCCTGGGTAACATATCCAAACGCAGTCTGTAAATAAAAAGTGAGAGGACCTAGGATTGAACCCTGTGGTACACCACATGAAATCACAGACTGACAGAAAAATAGAAACACTTATTTTAAGTTCTTGGAGACTACATTATATTTAAACCTGTGAGAAAAAGGTCAGATTCACTGATTGATTTAAACATTTGAACCTGTGGATGTGACTCAAAGGCAGTACATGTATGGTAGTGAACAATAGTTCATACATTTCAAATGATCAAGCAGGTAAATGACATTACTGTATGATCACAAACTATTGAGTTTGAACAGAGAGAGACTCCCTCTGGTGGATGTTGTGCAGTATTGTGTTGTCTTTGCTCCAAAGGTTTTTGTACAGAGTTGTGGTGTTTCCTGTCACTGTGGGCTGCAGAGCACAGTAGTACACAGCAGAGTCTGTCACTGTAGCAGAGGAGATCTGCAGAGGAACTGATGGCTTGTTGAGTGTAGCATCAAATCTGTCTTTCTGGAACTCTTCAGCATTATCTCCAGTTCCCGAGAAACGCTTCAGCATGTACTTTGGGTAACCATTGACTTCTTGTTTGTACCAGAACAGACGGGGAACTGTGTCAGAGGTCTGAAATGTGCAGCCAAGTGTAACTGTGTCTCCTTCAGTAGCGCTGACATCTCCTGCTGGCTGGGTCACTGTGTCTTGTCCTTTACACTCTGGGGAAGAAGAGACCATGCAGAGGAAGAGATGAATCAATAAAGACGATGGATTAAAGGAGAACAATCAGTAGCTTTAAACAGTTACCTAGAAACATGTTGTAGTTTCTATCTTACCAAAGGAGAGAGCAGCAAGAATAATCCACAGCCAATGTTCCATCTCTACAACAAGGTTTAAATCAGCAGCAGGAAGTAGCTGATGTTCAGCATTCAGTGTGAGGATGGTTCTCTTCACAGCAGCACTTATTATTGACTGGATGGTTGAACACAGTGCAGAAGACGTGCACCGCCTACTTGATAATGTGGCCCTCTAGTGGAGGTGAACAGCTCAGTACAACAGTGTGGAGAAAAGGCTTCCAGCAGCTTGTCAGTGTGTCAGCTGGTGTTTGTGTACAGAGTGTTGGTGTTTCCTGTCACTGTGGGCCTCACAGCACAGTAGAACACAGCAGAGTCTGTCACTGCAGCAGAGGAGATGCTCAGATTGATTTGGTTTGACTCCACTGTAATATTCAGTCCAGGGATTGGATTTTTAAGTATTCCTCCAGTTCCTAAATGAGAGATGATGAACTCTGGTGGTTTTCCTGGATATTGTCGATACCAGAAGAAATAATCATCACCCGCTGCTTGTTTGGAGTATCTGTAGGACAGAGTAACAGAGCTGCCTTCTGGACTGAACTCTTCTTTCTGTAATGCAGTGAGATCTTCACAGCTGACCCCTGAAGAGAGGAGTAATTCAAAAGACTCAGTTAATAGATCACATTTGATCAACATTAGAAGTTAACGTTTTCATGCAGAATGTTACGTACCTCTTAGAATGGAAACTAACAGTAGGGAATGTAAATAATAGTCTAATGACAGCATGTTGAATGAAGGTGATGATGATGGTCTGTGTTGAACTCTGGTGAATATGGAAGTTCCTCTCTCTTCTATAGTTCAGGAACATCTTAGCTCCTCCCTGAATCTCTCTGTCTCCTCTTAAATCTGTATTTCACTTCTCTCAGTTACACTTCCTCCTGGGTAACAGATCCAAAGGTCTGTAAATAAAAAGTCAGAGGACCTAGGATTGAACCCTGTGGTACACCACAATAAATTACAGACTACCAGAGTAACTTATTTTATAAAGATAAGAACAAAAGCAATCAAAACTTGAGTGTGTGATGTGTACCAGTTTATTGAGAGAGGTGATTTAAAGTGTTTGATCAGTCAGTAAATAAAAACGTAATAATAACAATGACGGGCGTTAACGTGAAGTCATATTAGTGAGAGGTGCTTCATCGAGAGAGAAATCTGTTTAAAATTATCTTAATCTATTACAAATATTTCTTCAGATCCAACATTTAAAAGGTCTTGAACACCACAACACAAGCTGCTGTTCCAATAGAACCTTTCATCAAATTGGGCTTGGAGATAAACTGAATCCAATGACAAAGTGAGAGGACCTAGGATTGAACCCTGTGGTACACCACATGAAATCACAGACTGACAGAAAATTAGAGACACTTATTTTAAATTCATGGAGACTACATTTTATGTTTAATCTGTGATAACAGGTCAAATTAAATGATTGAGTTAAACATGTTAACTTGTTGATGTGAATCAAAGGCAGTACATGTGTTTCTATGGTAGTGCACAATTGTTCATACATTTATATACCTGACATAAACCTTTAGAAATGATCAAGCAGGTAAACTAAATGATTGTATCATCACAAACTATTGATGTTTAACAGAGAGAGACTCCCTCTGGTGGATGTAGTGCAGTATTGTGTTGTCTGTGCTCCAAAGGTTTTTGTACAGAGTGTTGGTGTTTCCTGTCACTGTGGGCCTCAGAGCACAGTAGTACACAGCAGAGTCTGTCTCTTTAGCTGAGATGATCTCCAGATCAACTCGTTTCTCTGTTTTGTCAATGTGAGCAGAGAAATCAGCTTCAGTGGGATGGATCCCTCCTGCCTCTGTGATGGAGAGCAGGAACTCTGGTCTGGATCTCTGGTATTGTCGGTACCACTGGATATTGTAGATAGCCCCCTCATATTTACATGTCAGGCTGATGTTTCTGCCCTCTGCAACATGTTCTTCACTTCTTTCTGGCTTTATGCTGTTCATGGAGCCCAGGGCTGCAAAATGAGAATTATTCATGTCAGTTAGTCTGCAGGAGATTTTAACATTAAGAGACTCAACGGAGGGTCTTCAATTTCCTGTCATCTTTGATCAGTTTGAGATAAACCATGATAAAATGTCTTCATAGATCACAACGGTTGCTGCCTTACACAATCAAACCTCCAGTTATGAAATCTCTGGCTAATACAGCGGGTTAAATGAGACTTTATCTCTGTTCCAACACTCACCTATGAAGAGAGAGAAGAGTAACCAGAGGTAAAGCAACATGTCTTTGGAGATGGTAAAGTCGAACAGTCAGCAGATGAGTTCTCCTCCTGCAGAAGTGAAGCAGGAAACAGCCTCTCTGCTGCTCAGCCCTTCTCCTCAACATCAGATGATTGTGCTTTTAGTTCCTCAAACATCTCACAAATCATCTCATTGGTTGATATAAACGTCAGTGGGCGGGGCCAGAGAATCATGTTTTACTCGTTTTAAACCATCAAAATACTTTTCTCATATTAAAAACAGTTAGTTCTCTTTGTGTTTCTCTCTGACTCATACATTGAAATGTACAAAAACGTAGCAATAACAATGACAGGCGTTAACGTGAAGTCAGATTAGTGAGAGGTGTTTCATCGAGAGAGAAATCTGTTTAAAATGATCTTAATCTAATAAGAATATTGATTCACAGGTGTCATTTAAAAGGTCTTGAACACCACAACACAAGCTGCTGTTCCAATAGAACCTATTATCACATTGTGCTTAGAGATAAACTGAATCCAATGACAAAATGAGAGGACCTCACATTGAACCCTGTGGTACACCATATGATCAAAGACTGACAAAAAAATAGAGACACTTATTTTAATTACTAATTAAGCACTTACATACTAGTGATGGGAATTATGGCTCTTTGAAGGGAGCCGGATCTTATGGCTCCGTTCCTTTCAAAGAGCCGTTCAAAAGAGCCGTTCAAAAGAGCCGTTTTTTTAAGGTTACTAGGTTTATCTGCAAAATAATCACCAGGATAATGATTGACTGTATTGCCAGACCTAATGTCAATAATCGGCATTGTAAACATGACACAAGGTGGCGCCATATCCATGTCATCATGTCAGTGAATGTACTTTGAATTTACCCTCTGTATGTGTTAAGTAAATAAAGTTGCCTTGCCTTGAATGAAATTCATGCAACTCTTAATATTAGATACTGTGTTTTTAAGTGGCGATGGAGATTATTTGTTGATCCTGCTTTAAAGGATATTTTGCCTTTACAAATGGTGCGCTTTATCACTGCCTGGGTTTTGGTTGAAGTGAATCCAAATGCTGCTGCGTTTTCGCGTTTGGCTCATTTTCCATCCGAAAAACACGTTGTCTATCTGTCCTGTACCACTTGTTATGACTTCTCTCTCGCGTATTCCGTTAAGACCCACCCCATCTCACTCCTCGTGCTGAAACCTACCAAACAGAGTAGGGGCGGGTCTTCACAGAATACGTTTGGGGAACAAAATCAAGCTTTTTAAAAGGAGAGTGGATTTTGGCAGGCAGTGAGTGCGGACCAACGATTGAACGATAACAAGAACGGCTCTCACCAAGTAGGACTCGGTTCCCCTCGTTCGTACCAAAGAGCCGTTCAAAAGAATCGGCTCGTTCGCGACCGACACATCACTATTACATACTAACAAAGCACTTATATACTAATAAAGGACTGGCTTATCTAAAGCCAGTTGAGTAGCACATGAAATGTTTTGGCTCTATGAAACCTGAGGCCTGCACTACGAAGCCGGATTGTCGCTTAGCCGGCTGACTTCAGGGAAAACTCGGGCTTTCCGGTCCTACGACGCTGGTTCTCTTTTTAGAGGGCTAGATCTCCATGGTAACTTATGCTGAGCGGCTAACCTCCTCGGGAGGAGGTTAGGTTGCAGGCTAAGAGATCAACTCAGTGAAAGCACCGCCTGCTGACCAATCAGAGCTCTGTGTGCGGAGTTTAAAGCTATCAAGTCATATTACAGGATCGAGGAAATACAGAAAAACTGTCGTTGCAGGAAAGACGGCTGGCAAAAATCACAGACTGTGTGAACGTGAACATTAATAGAATATCCCCTCCCATCTTCAGAG